TGTGAATCCAGCATAAGGATTCCGTCTCTAGATTAGCGATTTTACAGATGGCAGCCCTATACCTGGGTGACATTCGGATGGGAATCTGAACTCAGCAGCAAGTGCACGATGTAAACTAGGCTCTATTATTTGCTTCGACACGGTAGCCAATCAATTTATCGCTTTTTATGGTCTCTATTTTGTGTAAAAATGCGGTGTGAATAAGCCTAATTTGATCAAAATCGGAGGTGAGGTAGCGCAATTGAATAATTATCTCACTTTAAAAACTTTTACGATGGCGCAAAACAGTCGATTATACTTATTTAAAAGACGCAAAAGCTTTTAGGCTTGTATCAGCCCCTTCTTCATATATTATTTACCTCGAAATCAGAATCAGTAAGTGAAAGTGTTAAAATTCCTTTCTTATTAAAAAATCTACTACAATACTTATTTTATATTAATTTGATATTATGATATCTATTGTTAAGATTATATTATTTTTTACAAATTTGGATTTTATTATTTATTATGTTAAATGTAAACATTTAATAGAAACATCTTGTTTGCTCTGTATTTTAAAGTGTTATTTTAATATAATGTATGTACATAGATTTACGATCAAGATGACATCAATGTTTGATCAGTACGAGCAAGCTTCTCAGCGTTCCAAGCAAGTGCTGGCACCACCAATTCGTCCGGATATTGTATGTTTCTTACCTGACATCAACTAACGAGATACATAACCAAGTTGCTGCAATTGTAACATTGTTTTATAGAGCACAGCTGGTTTTATTCAAATGAAGCTACAAGATGATGGACCGATATTCACTAAGCAAAAAGTTAACTTTCTGCCATCGGACAAAATTCTTCATTTAGTTGTTAGCAGTAACACGATTGTAATAGCTATGGCTAACAATATTTTGTTGCGCATTGATATGAAACAACCTGATAAAACTGAAGGTAGACAATTATTTGCATTTATTATGATTATAATGTATGAATAATACAATTTTTCTTGTATACAAATATTTTGCTAATATGAAATTTATTTATTTATTTTTTTAACTGATAAATGAAAAAATAACAAATGAATTAGACAATCATATTTTATTTATAATTGTAATAATATGAATAATAACATTTTTATTTTTTAAATTGTTTAACTTATAAATATATGTATGAATTATTTTTTATTTATTTTATTATTTATTGACAAATTATATTAAGAAATTAATAAAAAGATTACAAATACAAGTTTTGTGTCTTATTATATAAAGTATACATCAAATTACATACTTTCCATATTTATTTGAAATTAATTCTTCATATAGAGGTATTTACCTTTAATGTAACATAAATATTAAATTTTCATTTGCAGAAATCGACATATCCAAATATGCACTGAGCATGAAAATATCCAGCTTATTTCTGGATCCATTGGGTCATCACATGCTGATAACTCTGGTACCAAGGCACGGAGAGAATCCACTTCCGGAATTATTCTACTTGCATAGAAAGACAACAAAGCTCAAGCAGGCTGGAAAGTTCAAGGGTCATGAAATCACTGCAGTGGGTTGGAATTTTTCTAATGCTTCGGAAACGAGCACCGGTCCCATTTTACTGGGTACTTCAAAGGGCCTGATTTTTGAAACGGAGATTGGCTTGGAGACCGATAAGATTTTTAATACGAGTTTAGAGCAGTATTGGCGTCAGGTATTATTTACTTATGCACTGTAATAGGGCCATCATTTTATTTATTCACCTATAACACCTTTTCACCATTGCGCTATTCATTTTTAATAAAGCTTCCAAATTATCTGCCTCTTTATGGTTCAAAAGAGGCAGGAGGATTGGTAAGTTCATACATTTTTTTATATGTAAATATTTATGTATATATACATATTATTCTATAAACATAAATTCAGATTTTTTAATATTACAAGGTAATAATTAGAAAAATATTTTTATTGACATTATCATTAAATCATTAAAGAAGTGTGCATGCTAAAAAAAGCTATTTTTGCTAAAAAAAAAAAGCTATACTATAAAAGTCAGAAATTTGCAGTGATCTTACATAGTCGAAATAAAAATAATATTTTTTTAATTATATATATATTTTTAATAATTAGATAACTATCTAAATATTTCATCTGAAATAGCATGAAGTGTTTTTGATGTTACATTGTGATGTGATTTTAGGTATTTGATATAGGAAAAAATAGCAAACCTCCAATCACTGGAATAGAATTTCACAAAATTCCTAATTCGGATAAATATGTGATCATTGTAACCACTCTTATGCGCATTTATCAATACATCGGTGCCATTGGCAATCCCGAAGAGAAGCCTCTCTTGCAACAAGTGTTCTATAGATATTTGAATGCACAAGGTAAAGAGAAAAATATATAAAAAGGTATTATTTCCTCATTTTCAATCAGCACATTATAATTCAATATTCCTTAAAGATGTATTAAATATATTTTGAAAACATTCAGTTATGAAAAAATTATAGATTGTTTTATATTGCACATGAAAATAGTAGAAAAAATACAGAATAAATCACAATAAAACAATCACAATAAAACTTTGTATAAATCGTTTTAAATACTTAAAGTACTTATATAAAAAATTGAGTTTTTTAAATGTAAAAAAGTTAATAACAAATAAAATGGAGTAAATAAACTATTAAAATGTTCTATTAAATAAAAATATAATTTTTTTTCAAACGAAAGAAGAATTGTTTAGTAAAGAAATTTAAGAAATATAGCACATTTGAATAAATAAATATATTACATTGCAGAGACCTTCAACGAAGTAATAAATTCTTTATCATATTCAAAGATGCAATTTTATTATCCATCACTGGGCGTCCTGCCAAAATCTTTTGGATGGCTGACGGAAGCTGGTATCCTGTATGCTGAGGTATAATAAGGTGTTATTTTTAAAGATTTAAATGTTAATGTTATATGTAAGTCTAAATATGTGTCCCTTTTTTGCTTCCATATTTCATTTATCTTCATGCGTCTTTACTCTTTTACTATCACGGAAATAAGGGAAGTTTGAATAGTTCATTCATAAATCTTGTAATTTCCTAATATGTTGTTCTTTTTACGCATGATTACTTAGAAATGTTGGTGACCTCTCCTGGAGTTAATATGGCTCGCGTTGAAAGTCATTGATCCGGATGAAGAGTGCATGATGATCGGTTTTAGGTGGACGCGAAACCGGACACGAACAATGTGCTGATCAACCAACGGATGTTGACATGTCCTGAAACGAGTCTCATGGGCAGTAACGGTCCGCAAACCACTTCAACACCCTTGTCTTTTGTGCTGACGGAATTCCATGCGCTATTGTTGTATTCAGATCATGTGAAGGGCATATCACTGCTAAATCAGGAATTGATTTTCGAAGATGTTTATAACGACGTACGTATACTTCTCAGCACTTGCTTTATTATTATTATGAGATGATAAGATATAATTACAATATACTACAGGTGCGTTCCACTTAACGTTTGCAACGTTCGCGTGCATTATTTCATCCTTGTTTAACCTTTAATGACAATAAGGATGAAGTAATATATGCGAATATTAAGTAGAACGCACCCTAAGAATCAAAAGAGTTGAAAGAGAATGCGTGTGTATAGCACAGTTATAAATAATATAAATACCATTAATTTAATAGAGCTTTTAAGAACTCATGTGATGATTGAATCTTTTCGCGAGATGTTAAATATATATCACGCAAATGTGATTTAATGATGTTTAGGCAGTTGGTAAATTAATCGGCATTACCAAAGATCCAGCGACAAGGTCAATTTGGGCTTATAGCGAGCGAGCTGTTTTCAAGTATAAAGTAACGAAGGAAGATAGGAATATTTGGCAGGTAAAAAAAAATGAGGATGTAATATTTTCAAAGTGACAATAGCGACGAAATGATGATCTTTTGCTCAGGTATATGTCGATAAACGCGAGTTTGAGCTGGCTAAGCAATATTGTAAAGCTAATCCAGCGCACATCGATCAAGTGCTCGTCAAACAAGCGGAAATGCTCTTCAAGAATAAAGAGTAAGTTCATATACACGTACATGTATTTGCATATGTATAAATGTTTATATATAAGTATTTTTTTTTTCAAATTTCATCTATTTTTGTCTAGCTAAGCGGTAGTATTTTTGTAATAAGTTCTTTGCAGGTTTTAATATGCTTATTATAACATTATTATTTGACGATCAATTGAATTTATGATATTTTAGTTTGTAATTGCGTTCCAAATCCAACAAGTCGGCTTGCAGTTTATAGAAATGAAAAATTTTGCAAAAATTTGCATATGAATATATGCAAATATATCCGTTATATATCCGTTTTGATCGAAAATAAGATTATTTGTTTTATTTGATTTATATTGATCTAATTTCTATTATAATTGTTTATTTGATTTGTTTTCTCTTGTTGTAATATTTTGAACATGATTTTGCAGATACGAAAAGAGTGCTCTAATATACGCTGACACTCATTCGTCTTTCGAGGAAATTTCATTGAAATTTTTACAGGAATGGCAAATTGAAGCACTGAAAACGTTCTTGCATAAGGTAAAGTATAAGAGCAGTTCTGTTTCACAATAAACAATCATAAAATTGATGAATATTTGCATTAATTGTAATGATTACAAATTAATACTGTAGAAAAAAATTATTTTAGTTATGTATATAATTTAGAATTTATTTATTGTTATATAATTCCAACCCAATTTTTTTCCTACTTTTACATTTACATGAACGTTTCAAATTAAAAAAATGTTTTAATATTTTCTTGTTTTAGTTTAAAATTATATTAATACAATAATAGTTATTTATTCTAAAATGAATCTGATTATTTGTCTCAAGAAACTCGACGGCTTGAAGACGCAAGACAAGACACAGATTACGATGATTGTCATTTGGGTGACAGAGCTGTTTATGAATCAAATGGGAGCTCTCCGCAGTAGCAACACATCTTATCTTCATGATATGCAGTACACAGAATTGCAGAAGCAGTTTGACAGCTTCCTCACCATTCCAAAAGTCGAGGTACTTGAAAAAAATGAGAGTAAATTGAAAAGAAAGGATATACTGAGTTTCTTAACTATATGTCATAAGTGAACATATAGTGTGTGTGATCAAAATTAACTAGAGTTATAGAGGATTTTTCGATTCAGTTTTTCATAAACATTACAGTGCATACATGCCAGCTCTTGCAGTTGGTCTGGATCACCTAGTGTATATATATATATATATATATATATATATAGGTCGAATAAAAAGATGAGCATTTCGAAAGTTTTTTTAATTATAAATATAAAAATAAACTTTAATCAATTTCTGATATTTTTAACATTTTTTACTGTTTTTGACATTTTGTGTTGTTTATAACTCTAAATTTATTCCTTCAAATATTAATATATATATATATATATATAAAATTAAGACTCATATTTTATATTTAACAAATATTGTATTTTCGTTCTTTTTTCAACTATCAAATTAAATCAAGTTATCACAAATTTAAATTAAAGTTAAGAAATGCTAACTGGAACTTTGGATGTAGGAATGTATTAGGAGAAATCGCAGCACAATATATGACTTAATGGCCAGTCACGGTGACAAAGATAATCTGATACGTCTGACAATAATGCACTGCAATTATGAGGAAGTGATTCGTCAACATTTGTATAAAAATAACTATTTAGAGGCGCTAGGGGTGCTTAAAAGTCAGAATAATAAGGATCTCTTCTATCAATTCGCCGGCATATTGTTACAAGAGTTGCCACGGCCTACGGTGGCTGTCTTGATTTCGCAAGGATCCTTACTGAAGCCAGCAAAGCTTCTACCAGCTTTGGTCTCATGCAACAGTGACGAGAAACACGTAAGGAAGAGAGGGAGAACAAATTAATAATTAATATTCTTATCTCATAATTATCATAATTATCTAATTAAGAATAACAGTTAATTAAAATTCACATTACAAAAATATGTAGAGATTATTATTTCTTCTAATTATGCATAAGTAGCTCCATCGATAATTTCTTATTTTTTTATAGGCGAAAGAAATTATTAAATATTTGGAGTTTTGCGTATACAAACAGGGTTCACAGGAGCAAGCGATTCACAACTTTCTTTTGTCCCTGTACGCACGTTACAAGCAGGATGAAGTAATGCGATATATAAGCTCTCAAGGTAAATATATCTTGTTGTTTTTTTAATGGAAAATTAATTTACGCCAGTTATGAATTGTAATCCGTTGATTTATTATAACTTTATCTTTCGAAATAAAATGATTTATTGTTTACTTTCAGGTCAAGATATCAGCATGGTGCACTACGATGTGCATTACGCGCTGCGATTGTGTCAGGAGGTAGGCTTGACGGAAGCTTGCGTGCAATTGTCGGCTTTACTCGGTCTGTGGATTACCGCTGTAGATCTTGCGCTTACAATCAGTGTAGATCTTGCCAAGCAGATTGCTGCTATGCCATCTGATCATGATGACGAGCTGAGGAAAAAACTATGGTTGAAGATAGGTAAATCAGAACAATTTTTTAATCAATAATATTAATTCAAATAGAATAGTCGATCTTTGTATGAGAATTATACTTTGAAATCTGTGTTTTAGTCTAGATTATTTTAAAATATACATTTTTTTGTTGTATGTGCAGCGGAGCACGTGGTACGAGAAAAGGACGACATACAGCAAGCAATGGAATTTTTGCAACACTGCGATTTAGTTAGGATAGAAGATATTTTACCCTTTTTCTCCGATTTTGTCACGATTGATCATTTCAAAGAAGCTATTTGCAATTCCTTGCAGGTACAAACTAAAACTAATTCTGAATTTATAATTAAATTCTGAACTAATCTTTTTTATCCTAAGAATATCTAATTTTGTATTTTTATCTACGTGTGTGTTTAATAATTATTTTGTAATTATGTATGTACAAAAAGATTATGAAATTAAAAAATATTTATAAGTAGATTCTAAAAAATATACATATAAATTAAATTTATAAATATTTATTTAATAAGTTTTTTTTTCTCTCCTATATGTAATAGGAATACAACCAGCATATTCAAGATCTTAAGGAAGAGATGCAGGAAGCCACGAAAGCAGCAGAACTAATACGGAAGGATATTCAAGCCTTCAGAACTAGGTACTAATAGAGCATTCTTCTACTATTTTTAATATTACGTTTCTACAATCTGTGTTATAAAGATTTCATCTTTAGTCAGCTGTACATTGAATTATTTAAATGAGAAAATCAATATTTTGAAAAATCATTCAGTAGAGAACGCAGTTTTCTCTGCTGAACGTAGCCAACAAGTGAAAATTAATTATGAATTTTTTTTCAGATGCACTTTTGTGCATGCGCGGGACATGTGTAATACATGCGAGGTGCAACTGTTGCTGAGACCTTTCTACGTATTTCCCTGCGGTCATAAATTTCACAGCGATTGTTTAGTGGCAGCGTTAACGCCGATGCTATCCATGGATCAGAGGACAAAATTAGCAGATCTTCAGCGACAGTTCACAGCCATTTCAAATCGGCCCGAAGATACCACCTCGACGACTTCTGTGTCATTGTCCACGAGAGACAAAATCAAGACTGATATCGATGAGCTGGTCGCCTCAGAGTGTCTCTACTGTGGAGAACTTATGATAGAGTAAGTTTAGTAGTTAAGCAGTTAAAAAATTCTAGTTACAAAATTCTAAAATTTAAAGCCTATTTAAGGATGTACCGCCCTACAAAAGGTGAATTAAAATTAAAAATGTGTTAACATTTATACTTTCATATATAAAAATGAATGAATCATGTATACATAATGAATGATGTATATATGAATTTTATATATATAATGAATTATGTATACATATATGAATTATATATACAGAAACAATTGTGTGAATAATATCGTATTCTTTTAACAATACATTTTTATAATTTATTTACTTTATTTGCTTTTATATTTTTTTTTATTTTAACTTTTTAATTTTTTGGAAACATATTTTAAGATTTATGCAAAGTTTTATTATATTACAGAGATTAGTTTTGTAATAAATAAATAAAGTTTATTTATTTCAAATTTTAATTTACTTTTGACAAGTATTATATGAGTGATATATTTAAAAAAAATTGAAATTGTAATATTTTTGGAATATCGAACAAATATATAAAATTTTATAATTTAAAAATAATATTTTTTAGATCTTAATAAATGATCGGTACAATGATTGGTTATACTTTGCAGATCAATAGACAAACCATTCATTGAGGAAGAGGATTATGAACGCGTGATGAAGGAATGGACATAATGAAAATTTCTCACTGAAAATGTGAGAGTACGCTTATCTCTTTTCTTTTATTTTTAAGAAGAGATTATTTGCGCTCTGTATTATATATCTACACATGATAATAATAGTTTGGTCATAAATTATTATGCTCTCAACGTTGAATTTTTGAGACTTGAAATTTTATTAATTTTTTATCGCTACAATCAATTTTTTAAAATGAATTAATTGAAAAAAAAATTATATGTTGAACTTTATTTTCAGATTTGTCAGGCTTGCATAATAGTGAAATTATTATAATTATCTAATTATTAGGATTACAATTTGGAGCCTATATGTATAATATAATATATAATTGTATTCAAATTGTTGTATTTATGTATATATATATATATATAGATCAATTTTTTAATATTTTATAATAGAGAAAGCTTAACATTTATAATATGGATCCAATCATTGTAACAAATTCGATTACTTTAACCAACTAATCAAAATATAATCGAATAATTTATTCATAAGCCAGAAATAAATGTATACATCTTGAATTGAAATCTTACCCAACACTAATGCCTTATAGTATATAGTATATAAGTTTTTTAACATTTTCATTTTTAAATTTTTTCGAAGAATTAGTTGTTACTTCACAAGTTAAATAATTATGTCAATATTCATAATCAATTTTTGTCAGCATCATTATGCTTTTATATAAATAAATAACGGATGGATTATTAGCTTAAACTATTTATCAGTCTTTTATAGCAAAATGGGTAATTGTACTGAATAGGGGACCCCCTCCCCCTCTTATGATCTTGACATATAATATATTGCAAGGTCATGACCCTGAGTAATCTCCAACAACAGGTTTTAGTCATCGCTCTTTCATTAAAAAGTTATTAACAAAAGAAGTTTGAAAAATTATGTTCCTTTTCTACTATATAAAATAGAAATTTTCTGCTTTAAAGCATATTTTACAACTTTCCACGTGAAGCGACTCCCATCCTACTTTCCCTTTTGCTCAGGGGCGCGCGACTTCCATGCGAAGCGACTCCCACCCCACCTCTCCCCTGCTTAGGAAATTATTTTAAAACAGAGAATTTTTGTTCTATATATTACTATTTGGAACAGAAATTCTCTGCTTTGGTAGAAAAGAGATGTTATTTTTTTAAATTCTTTTGTTAATAACTTTTTAATGAAAGACGAGCGACGGTTAAAACCTGTTGGATGTTACTCAGGATCATAACCTTGACAATATATGTACCCTATTCGGTATATTTACCGCAAAATGTTAAGAAATTGAAAAACTAGCATTTTATCGTTAAAAAAAAACAAAATGAAAATAGGACACTATATTGTGCTGATAATTCATGATGATAACATGCAGATTGGACTTGATAAAACGATCATCTTCGAGCAGTTAAAAAATTTCTATCTCTGCTTTTTTGTTTCTTTTGCTAACAGACTTATTGTCATAAATGTAATAACGTAAAGGCTTGTTGGCCCATTCCGGACCACAGCTATCGATTCCAATCCTGGCGGATTTTACGATTTTGATATCCCCTGACGCACGATCATCCTCGATCCATAGATTCTTCCACGTACAGAGAGAGTACCTGCTGTGCTGCTTGTTAAGTTGATATGCCATGCAGAGCTTCGAAGGACCATTGCATAGTTCGTGCGGTTTTAGATCGCCTTTCCTTGTTTTCGAGATGTTACGCTGATAAGCCATGTACTCCATACCTTCTATGGGATCGACGGCTCGCACCAGCACCGCGCATCCATCACCTTACCAACAATGAGGTGAACATCTACTATCGAAGCTACAGATGTAAAGGAATCTATTCTTCTAAATTTCTATTTAAGAATAAACTTCTAGGCGTATATAAAATACAATTTTTTCATGTACATACAACAGCTTTAATATGCAGCAGTGCGCACTAGAGAAGTGTCTCTAGTGCGCACTGGTGCGTCTAACCGAATTCGCTATAATGTTAGCTCCGATCCTAAGCTTCTATAATACATTTTGAAATCTGCTAAACGCGCACATTTGTGGGATTAAAAATTTATAGATTTTAGATTAATGATGCAATTCAAAATACGAAAAATCAAACATTCATAATTGTAATTGTTAATTTGATTAAATATATTTATTTAATTCTTTAACAATTAACTTTTTCTTATTTAATTTTTTAACACAATTAAACTCTTTCTTGAGTACATATTTGTAAATATAAGGAGAGCTCGGTATTTTTGTATCTAATATTTATTAAAATATTTTTTTTAATTTGCTAAACGCGCACGCTAAGATTAAAATTTATAATTTCACGAATTCTTTAATAATTGAAAATTTTTTACTTCTTAAGAATATATTTTTGTGGACAAAGAAAAATTTAAAATTTATCATGCTCATATAGACTTAAATATACAAAGTTCCGTGTACTTTTGTATTTATAAAGTCCAACTTATTGTGCAATGTAAGCGAGTTTCTCGCATTCAGAATTCTTTTCGTCGACGCTGGTGCTTCCCAGCACGTAATATCGTGTCTTTATAACATAACTACTGTCCAATTTAAGATTTTCAGGTGGTATAGCTACTATAGTAGGAGGCCTTACAAAAGGTTGGCTCTCGAGCCACAAATTATTACACGCATAAGCGAATTTTCGGTCGAAAGCGTTTTGGTCGATCGCAAAGGCATCGCAAATCTTGAAGGGATTATTGCAAAGTTTGTATTGCTTTAGGTGCGTCGCAAGTCTCGCGGTTTGTTTTTCTCTTCCGTTATCCTTCCACTGCATATTTTTTAGCAATTCCATGTACTCGAGGCCCACCAGCGGTTCCACCGCTTTGATTAATACATGCGCATTCCCTTCTAAACGTTATTTAGTATTGTAATACTAAATAATAACACTAACATATCAATTGATGACTTTCTTTTCAACTAAAAATATATTTCGAAATTGTGAAAACGCGATATTCTCTCTCTAAACAGATTTATTATAATCTTCCTGTATGTTTTTGCTATTAATGAATTAAGGGATAGTATCCTTTGCTTTCATCTTGTTTTTATAACTTTTATTATTTTCAACAATTTAATGTTAGTGGAAATAGAACATATTTTAATTCTTCATACATAAAAGTAATGAAATAAATCGATTTTTTTTACTCACCTTGGCTAGAGATATTGAAGCAATGGTACATGCCATATGTCATGTAAATATAAATAGTTCCTGGTGACATGTACATTGGCAAGTTGCGAGGTGTAACTCTGTTCTGGTAAGAGTGTGAAGCCCTGTCAATCGCACCTAAATATCCTTCAGTCTCTACAATTCTTCCCTTGAGGATAGTTCCATTTTCGAGATATCTTACAAGTATTTTTCCTATTGGAAAAAGACAAATTGTTTTTAACAAATACATAGTTTATATTGTAACAATAGAATAAAACAGAATAATAGAAAGGAAGATATAGGATATTTTTTAAGTAACCATATAAGTTTTTAAAAATAAAAATAAATTTTTAATACATTAATATAATATAAGAATTAATAAATAATAATAAAAAATTATAATTAATAATAATTATAATTTTTAATAAATTCTATGTACATAACAACCGCTGTGCCAGCTCTTCGCAGGGAATGTCAAAGAATTCATACTGCAGTCGGCCAGAAGATAATTCCTTCTCCCGTGGTGTCATAGGAGGATCTTCTAATTGACTTAATTCCAACTTCATCATCTGCAAATCCACGACTGCTCTCGGTTTTCCTTTGCTAGTACTCGCGTTCGGTTTCAACTTTTCTACCTTCTTTTCTTTTCCTGCTATATAAATATTGTAAATGAATGTATTTATAAAAATAAAAATTTTGTAACTGACTGATTAATCTTAACTAACTTTCAATGTGAGTTTCCATCTTTGGCTCTTTCTGAGAATTCTTGGATCTTTTAGAGGATGCAGAAATTTGAGAATCTGTTGTGTTGTATACATTTTCAGTATCCCGATATTCCTGATTTCGTAAGGACTTGAGGTTCAATTTTGGTCTTTCTAATATCACCTAATAGAAAGCAATAATACTGAAGCAAAAATATAATATTTGCGTCACATAAAAAGACACCTATAATTTAAAAAAAGTTATATTGAAAAAAAATATATATACATAAATAAGCTGTAATTTATAAACTATTTATATACATAGTCCATGATAGAAGTCATTCAGAAAAGTCTAACTTATTATTATTGTTAAAAACAAAATTAAATTAATTTAATAAATTAATTATGTATAATATATTGTTCCAATACCATATCTAATTATTTTAAACAATAAAAATTATATAGGCTTTAATGAAATAAATAAAAAATAAAAAGTCTTTGAGAGCTGGATGTTGTTGCGATTATAATTTATTTTAATCGAATTATTCTTAAAAAATTTTTTTATTTTCTCAGATATATTAGTAATACATGAGACAGAAAAGTATCGTCGTCTTTCTTGATACTTTTCTGTCCCATTTATTACTAATATATCTGAGAAAATAAAAAATTTTTTAAAGAATGATTTGGCGGTACGAATAGCATGTACGGAATTAACAAGCTATGTTGTAAGTTTATCAAAGTACTCAAGGATAAACTCCCAGTTTTGTCACATACAAACGTTGTTTACAGAATTGATTGCAGGAATTGCGACGCATTTTGTGGATCAAACCAGTAAAATGTTAAGGATAAGAATTAAGGAGCATAAAAACCACATTAATTGGAAAACAACACAATACTCCGTAATTACTGAACATAGACTGGAATTTGTACACGATTTTAACTGGGATGATATAAAAATTCTAGATAAAGAAAGGTTTTTAAATAAACTAATATCTGAAATGATTTTTATACATAAACAAAAAATAGCTTGAACGTACAGCGATACGGAATTTTTAGATCCCTTATACACTACTTTAATTTCTGAGACTTGATATTTCCCCCTCTTCTTTAGTTTATCGAGCTGTGATGTTACTTGACGCATGATATCATTAGATCCATGATAAGCGTGCTATCAACATCGCGTGATATGCTCACTTTTTAACTATGTAAGTTTTTGATTTAACTACCTTTAGTTTAATGTTCAATCTTTATTTCATTGACTCATGTTTTATTATTTGGTACATTTGAAAATCTAATGGACATTATTGAATATATATGGATCGAGTTGAATATTTCATTTAGATATATCTTATCCACAGTTCACATAACAATGAGCAAAATAATTTTTGTAATCTTAAATACAATTTAATGATCCAATGTGTACAATTGTTTAATCAATTTTGTATATTTTACTTATGGTCTTAATGTAACTGCTGAAGAGGATCCTAACCATGGATCGAAACGTTTAATTAATTGTTATATACAATAAATTAACAACTCCTTAAGACCGAAACTTATAATTTTTGCACAAATTGTTGAAATTAATAAATCTTTATTATTCGCTTCTAAGACCTTGCGTAGTGGTGTATGCCCTTTAAAAATATTGTTTTGAAAATAATTAAAGCTTCAAATCTTATGCTGACATAGTAAAAATTCTGGTGTCAAGAATTAATTAACTTCCTAGTCGGTTACTGTGACGGGAAGTTCACTAATTCTTGACACTGGAATTCTTCATCAATTCTATCATGTGCAGCAGAAAATGTAAAACTTTAATATTTTTTTAACAAGGATGGTTCAAATTGGAGCCAAAATATTCATATCATTTAACATTATAGTACAAATGTTAAATAATGTTGTTATCTGTGTTTGACTCTCATTAGCCCTTATCATTTGCTTTGGCATTTTTTTAAAACTTGGTAGTCCTATCAATTTATTATTAAAAAAAAATACCATTAATATATATGCCGCACCTATGCTATACTTGCTATGCTATACCATGTGTATTTATTTTATGCTGCACGTTAATAACTAATACACAAGTGTGATTTGTATTAACTCTGTGTCACAGTATCTTATTTTATATCTTACTGCAGATCAAAGTACAATTGATTCGCAGTAATTGGAAAGAATCGAAAACTACAATTAATCAATTACTGTGAATCAACCATATATTGATCTGCACAAAGATGTAATATACAACTTTTAAATATTAACACAATATTCTGTCTGCATCTAAGACTATCACACTTTTCTCAAATTGGATTCTGTCTTGTCAAGCGATATATTGTTAGTCTGGACACAAATGGAGATCTACAACTTTAATTTTGTAATGAGGACAAGACTGTTGTAAATAAGTTTTTATGATAGCCTGTAAGTTATTGCTCACTGATAATAATCCTATAAGAACCAAAATATCTGAGACTTTAAATATGATTTTGTAATAGATAAATCAGAATCTGTTACACTAATAGCATGTTTAATTCATTGCCCTTTATTAATATTTATTTGGTAGTAAAAAAAATTGGCTGGTATAAGAAAATCAGTAGTCTCAATTGTAGGCTGTTGACCAACTTCACTGATTCACCAATAAGACTTAGGACTGTCAACTATCGACTTATTGTAGAATCAGTATTATGAGTTTTCCACAATAAGTCATTATCCAAGTTTTAAGTCTTTAGCCATAAGAAACTGACAAATCACAGTTAATAATTTTTCTCACATGCAACCATGATTGATTGAATAACGACTTATTATAGAAAGCTCATTAGACTTTCGTTTTTAATATCATATTTCAGAAAGAACCAAACCGGTATCGGACAGTTGCGACACTTCCGCTGTAAGAGAAAATAAGGGAAAAATGCCGATTCTTGAAGAAATATTTATTTTATTTACTTCTACTCCGTTAGAATAAACAAGCTGATAAAGCAACTTGTACTTATTTAGCGACTACGATACAAACATAAGATGGAAACAAACCGGCGTGGTTTGAATCTAATTAGTAGTTACCGTATCTTCATCATCCTTATTATTCTCTATTTTATTCTCCTGTTGAATCCTCGTAGCTGCTCTTGTCCGTTTCATCAAATTGCTTTCTGCTACGAATTTAATCGTTTCGCAACCTCCAATGGCTCGAGAAAGAATAATTTCTACGCGAGACAAGACAAAACGTCGAATTGTAAACAAATTACACAAAATCATATTCAAGTAGGCCACTTCTAACCTGTACGTATGTAAAGCTGGTTCTACATTAGTCTCGTCGCAAGCGTTGCGGTCCAATCAACGACAAGCTAGCTCGATTCTGATTGGATGCGACGCTGCGATGCGACTAATGGGCTGCGTTCAGCAGACTCAACAGTTTTGCAACCGTTTTATGATTGTCTGCTGAGATAGGACCATTCTTCTAGATCTAAAAGTATGATCCAATTAGCGCGAAGGAAATTTCCAACAGTTGCAAAACAAACGTTCTGCTGAACGCAGCCAATGTAGAATCAACTTCAACATATTCCGTTGAAGCAACGTTCAGCATGGTTGAGTCTGTTTTTTTTTATTTATGTACTAAAACTGCACCATAACTAGCATTTTGTTACTTTCGCCAAATATCGAACTTATGTCACTTTAAGTTCTGTGAGTTTACATTTTATATTAATTCAATCACAGAAAATTGAGTTATTAATATACATTAATAATCAAAACAAGAAGTATGTATATTTTAGTATAAAATAATATTTTATCATAATTTGCAAATTTTATATATATGTGTGTGTATTATCCGTTTCTATCAATGTAAATTAACATTAATTTCGGTTTAATTTATTTTTTATCTTTTTTTTTCTTAGAACGCGAGAAAGATAAAAAGGGAGTTAAACCGAAGTTGAGGTTAATTTACCTTTATAGATATGAATCGGTAGTCGAAGATCTTAAGATTTAGGCCCTGCGCACAATGGAGGAAATATTAGGAACAGGAATAGATATTAAGATTTCAACCTATCAGAAACCGTGTATTCCGGTGTAACTGGTATCTGATAGGTTAAAATCTCAATATCTATTCCTGTTCCTAATATTTCCTCTATTGTGCGCAAGGCCTTAACCAGTTTTAACCTAAATGGATGACTATGATTTTTTGCATTTACTATATAGTTGTACAGCAAGCCGTTTAACTCGACTGATGGAAAGGAATAAAGTCCAATTTGGTCAGTCTTAAGAAAATCGGTAGTCTTAGGGCCATGACACACAAAAAAACTTAAGCAGTAAAACGTAAACAGTAAGCGAATTGGTCAATCATAGTAGAGTCCATAATATGGACCATCCACAAATTGGTCAATCATAGTAGAGTCCATAGTAAAGCCATAATATAAGCAATAGCGAATCCAACATGTTGATTTTCTTACTGCTTATGTCTTATTGCCTTAAATTTTTTATGTGCCAGGCCCCTTAGGCCCAGTTCCACAACTCACGGTTAACTCTTAATCAAGGTTCAACTTGTTTCTCATCTCTTTCCAATTCTAGAATTGGAAAGAGATGAGAAACAAGTTGAACCTTGATTAAGAGTTAACCGTGAATTGTGGAACTGGACCTTAGTCGTACAAGTTGGCTGTTGGCCAACTTTACCGATTCATTGATAAGACTTAGGATTACGAACTCATTGTAGAATCAGCTTAAAGCATAACTTATTCATATGCATTGCAACTATGCTTTCTTGTGCTTTCTAATTACAATTGAAATAAAGGAGTACAAGAACGGTCAAATTTATCGAAAGGAACAATAATTAGAAATAAATTATAAAATATACACAATTAAAGCTAAATTATAAAATATAGAGCTAAAGCTTATTTTCTATATGAAGAATTTAATTTTGAATCGTACATATTTAAACATTTTATTAATGGTAATAAATTAATTTTTTTTAAATCGAAGATATGGCTGACGAACGAGAGACAATGAGTACAAAGGCAAAGCTTTCAAAATTACATTGTCCGTTTACTTGGGAAATATTGGACAGTATGATAAAACATTCCTTAATATGTCAGAAGCAAGCATATGACGAAATTGATGATGAAACAGATGATGAAAGATCTTACCTCTTAGAACATTTATTAATATATTTATTTAAATGTTACAAAGCTTTATTAAGTATAGATAACGATGAAGTAATAAAAAGAATTGAAAAAGCTGAAGAGATTTTAAAGCAGATTCAACAAAAGTATGATATACAATACTTATTTTTGGTATATAATACGTATTATATTTTAAAATTGCTTAATCTATATGTTATCATTTGTATGATTATAGGACAGAATTTAATCAAATAATAAGAACAATTGAACATGTTTTTTATGCTACAAAATGCTTTATTTTGTATGATGCTTATGATATAGATGGATTAGAAGAGATATTGCAAAATGTTATTGATCCTAAAGATTTCAATAATGTAGAATTAGGTGCGTTGTATGGCTGTCAAAGTGTTGTATGGTCATGCTTAAATGATTTTGGTATGCATAAAGCAGTTGACATGGCTAAGAAAGCAGTAGAAAGGGATCAAAATTGTGCATTATGGCATTTTATTCTGGCAAAGAATCTTAGACGTCAAAGACGTTCAATAAATGTTACATCTGACGTATCAGATTTGGAAAAAATACATTTTGAAATAGCATTTGCTATGTCTAAGAATGACAGGTTTGGAGTATATTATTTGCAAATGCGTATTGAAAGTTTTTACAAATATAATAGAGATAGAGATTATGTGATGAGGAAAAACGCTAATGAAAAAGAAGTAATAAACATCGCCAAACAGATTTTAAGAACGAAACCAACTAATCATAAAGTGCTATTACGACTAGCTCGTATATTTCTACGTGCATTCTCAGATGAAAGACTATTTGCAAAAGAGTGTCTTGATGCTGTATACAAAATAATGCCAAATAATTCTACATATCTGCATTATACCGCAATGTTATATGAGCAGAGTGGAGATTATAAAGTTAGTGTAATATAATATTATTGTACTACTTAGAAGAAATAATAAATATAATTAAATTTTATATTTGGGGTGAAAAAATTCTAACAATAATGAATAAATAAATATGAGTTATGCAATGTAGATATATCAAAAAATGTAAGATTTTTTTTATACTTAAGTAAGTTTTTATTTGTTAAAAAAAATATTTTTTATAAATAATTGTATTCTTTTCCTATCTGTGCTTGTTACTTCTCATATTTATCTGTAAATATCGCAGTACAGTTCAATGTTTTGAATATCATATCTTTTTCTTTTAATTATATATATTGTATTTTTTAGGAAGCCTTAAAGTATTTCAAAAAGGCTGCTGATTGTAATAACTTGGTGGCAGAACTCGCCTATATACAGTATGGTTGGGAAGTAGGAGAGCTGGAACCACTACCACATTTATTGCGAATGTCGAAGAAATATGAACAGGCAATTAAAGAACGACAAATAGATATATTTCTAGCTATTGCTATAACTTATTATTCTCTGCATAAAGATACACTAAATGCAGCAAAATATTTTTTAAAAGCACTTGCTATGGATTCAGTGAGCAACAAATTCAAGGTATTTAGATATAAAGATTGAAACATACGTAGTTGTAATATTAGTCTGTTATTATTCTGTATTTAAATTATCTCAACATATTTTTTACCTATAAGTATCTTATAAGTACCATAACTCATTTTTTTTATGATAAAAATATGACTGAAGAAAAAAATTGAATGGTATGGAAAAAACGACCGAATTTGGCAGAAACAACCGTCGAGAACTAAATTCCACAATAGAGAGTTTGCATAATTTTTGAAAAAATATTGCATTTTATAATTTATATTTAATTTATATATATTTATATATAGGCAACTTGGCGAGATGGGATGGAACTCGCTTCGCGTGGAAGTTGTGCGCCCCTCAGCAGAGGAGGTGGGGTGGAAGTCGCGTGCCCCCAAACAAGGGGGAGGTGGGATGAGAGTCGCTTCATGTGAAAAGTTGTAAAAAAATTTCTTAAAGCAGAAAATTTCTGTTTTATATAGTAGAAAAGAGACATCATTTTTTAAAACTTTTTTTTGTTAATAAAGAGATTTTTAATAAATGATGAATAACGACTAAAACCTAGTGAAGGTTACTCAGGGTCATGACCTTGACAACATATGTCAAGGTCATTAAAATCGTTGAGGTTGTTGGTAATATACCCAAAGTAATTTTTATGTGACTTTAACAACGCTATTAAAAGTCAAATTAATATTGCCATCTAATATGCAACTTAAAACTTTACAATTTTTGTATGTAATATTTGTTTTGGAAATGCTTATTTCCTGAAATATTAAAGGGTTCTGCCACTTTTTATATATATTATTCAGAATGCGCTTACAATAATGTTAGCGTGCTAACATTTTATACCTTACGTTACGCATATTATAGAATTTCGGAGATAAAAACGCGCTTTTTCAATAAAATTTGAAATACGGATCCCTATATGTGTTCGTGTGCGCACATACGCTTAATGACAGACTATGAACTTTCTTAAATTATTGAAATAAATTAATCCTTTTTATATTTTCTAGACATTTTATAGATTTCTTGACTTTAATACCCAGAGTATTTTATCATTTTTAAACGATTATTTTTGTCGTCTTCTGGAAAAAGGAAATACAAGGTCACATAAAACAATGTGTGAAGAAATAAAAAAATACTTGGATGTGCAGAATGTAATGGAAGATTTGTATGCCTTATCTGTAGATATTAAAGAAAAAACATTCTAATTTAAATACCAATTAAAATTGATTAAATATCAATAAAATATTTTTTAAGTTATTATTTTAATATATTCTATATTATTATATTAATTATATTAATATATTCCATATTATTTTAAACATATTCTATATTTTAATTACAATTATGATTATTTATTTGTTCATTATATTTTCGTATTAAATATAGATCATAAAACTTACATGTAACTTATATGTTAAAATCATAATAGTACCAAATAGAAATATGTTTAATAATAGTTGAATATTATAATTATATGAATTTTAAAGTTGAAAACAAATCAATAACTACTATGATTCTAAGTTGACATTTTTCTTTCTAAACAATATTGGAAATAGGAATTTGACCATTTTGATTTCCCGTATCTCCAAACCTAGCGAGAGTCTCGTTAGCGCACATTGCGATAGCAATCCACTGATCACTCTAGAGATCCTAAAAGTAGAGATCGGCCAAAGCCGGTGCATGATCGGCCAAAGCCGGTGAAACCGAAAATCATATGTGATCTTGGAAATGCACGCCAATATATCGGCCGGTATTCATAGTCAAATCTTATATTCAAGACCGTCTTATGCGGGATCTACAATAGAAGTCGTAGCAGTCGTAAGGTCTATAAGTCGTAGAAAATTGACCAATCACAGTCGAATATGAAAAAAATAATCGACTGTGATTGGTCAATTTTCTACGATTTAAGACCCTACGACCGCTACGACTTCTATTGTAGATCCCGCATTAAGTACAGTCTTAAGATGTCACGAACCAATCAGAGGGCCGCATTAGCGTCTTAAGACATTACTTAAAACGGTCTTGAAATAAGAATCGACTATGAATACCGGCTATAAACGTCAATTTCGATGAGAATCTTAACAGCAAGCTGGTGTCACTTCTTTTTCATATTCGCTTCTCTCACTCTCACATCTGGTTTCACAACAACATGACAAAGCCAATCACGGATCGAGTCGGCATTGGCCGATCTTTACTTTTAAGCCTGATTTATAATGGCCGTAACCGTTAACTTATGCCGGTGCCGGTAAAGTTCAACCATAGGATTTCAATGCTTTCGTTCATACTAATACGGCAAGTTAGTATGAACGAAAGCATTGAAATCCTATAGTTGAACTTTACTGGCACCGGCATAAGTTAACGGTTACGGCCATTATAAATCAGGCTTAAAACAGTTACAGAATAGGGACCCTTGAATCGTTTGTATTACGGATAAAACTATTCCAAATTTGATAGTAGTGACATCTTTCATTCACTTCTTATACTTATTATATATCGTTGTGTCTCATTTAAACGCATTCATCTATCCTTATCTAAAGGATCCTTATTTAAAGGATATCATCTATCCTTATCTAAAGGATCTTTAACTTAAGCAGTGAGGATATCAACACGTTGGATTCGTTACTGCTTACGTTATGGTTTTACGGTTTCTATTGTGATTGGTCGATTCGTTTACTGCTTAAGTCTTAACACCCGTATTCATAGTCGGGTCTTATATTTAAGACTTCCTTAAATTTATTTTTAGATGCTTCACGAATGATTTCATTGGCTATTGAGCATCTAAGTTTTTTTATGTGCCATGACCTTAACATATTGCAACGCCATCTCTTAGAAGATCGAACACTTACTACTAGACACAATGGCTGCGTTCAGCAGACTCAACAGTTTTGCAACCGTTTTATGATTGTCTGCTGAGATAGGACCATTCTTCTAGATCTAAAAGTATGATCCAATTAGCGCGAAGGAAACTTACAACAGTTGCAAAACAAACGTTCTGCTGAACGCAGCCAATTATTGCTTTGTTTACCATTCCGAGTCTACCGGTATTCATAGTCAATTTTTATATTCAAGACCGTCATGGGCTGCGGTCCACTTGATGCTACAAACGCTTCGAAGCGACCAATCAGAACAAAGAATTTTACGAATTGATTAATCAAAGAATGCTTTGAAGCGTTTGTAGCGTCAAGTGGATCACAGCCTTAGGCTGCCTTTCCATGGAGAAAGAAACCACGGAACGGAATATTGACAGAAAAGAGATATGCTGGATTCACACTGCATTCGATTTTCATCGTACGACGAAAATCGGATGCAG